TTTTAACCTCACAGCAGTAAAAAACAAAAAACAAAAAAAAAACAAAATTTAATATAACTTGGCATGGTTATTGTTTGGTTTGCATTCTACTTAAAAGGAAGTGATTATTTTGTGTCAATAGGTAACTTTAAAACTGAGCAGACAAAAATGTTGGTCGTCCAGCATGGCTCCATCCTGGGACCACTTCTGCTTAACATCTACATGCTTCCACTTGCTCAGATAAGAGAAAAGAAGAAGATAGATTACCACAACTATGCGCATGCCACCCAGCTCCACATTCTAATGTCCCCAGGTGACCATATCACTTTACAAGCAATGGAACAAATATGTGAGTGGATGTCTTAAAAACGAAACAAAAATTGAGATACTTAATTTTGGATTCGCATGCAGGTCCAGTCTTCTCAGTTAAATAACTCAGATCAGGCCAGGAATCTAAACGTTGTCATGGACTCAGACCTGAATTTTAAATACCACGTTAAAAAGAATCACAATGTCAGCATACTATCACCTCAAAAATATTTGGTGGATAAATTGACTGATGTCACAGCAGGACCTTGAGAAACTGGTCCATGCCTTTATTTTTAGTTGCGTTGATTACTATAATGGTATATTCTCAGGTCAGCCTAAAAATTCAATTGGAAAACTATATAAACATACTGTCATGGAAAATTTGACACCATACTGTTAAAAACAAATTGCAGGAGATGCACTCTAAATTAGCATCTGCCAGTAATATACTATTATTTTTCAGTGAAGTTCTTTACAGTGTACATGTTGTATAGAATATCCAATTGCAAACTACCTCTGCAGAAGCAGTTAAACAATTATTTTACATGAATTAATTGTGAACTTAAAAAAATGTTTATGAGTAATGTACTACGGTGAGGTACTGAATAATACACCTTCCTCACTTTCTAAAGGACCAGTGTTCTAATCAGGCATTCTTGTGTGAAGTTTTATGTTCTTCCTATGTGTGTCCCGGCTTCCTCCCAAATTGCAAAAACATGGATATATAGTTTCTAAGCCTCACTTGTACTGAATGTGAATGGTTGTTTATCTATGTGACCTATGATTTACCGTACTCTAGACCAGTCCAGGGTGTATAACCAAAGTCAGCTAGGATAAGCTGTAGTGCACCCGGGAACTAAATGATGACAAGCTGCACAGGAAATGGATAGCTAGATGGATGTCATTTATCTCTCTTGCTCAAAAAGATGCACACGAATCTGAGCATCTAATCCATTACTGTAATCTAATTCCACATAGAGGGCAGTTCACTGTATGGTGAGATACTTGTTTCCCAAGTAGATAAATGTTACATCTCCTCCACAGCTGTCATCTGTGTTTAGCTTGAAACCAGAGCGAAATTCCTACTGGCAAGAGAGGGGAATAAGTTATAAACACACCATTACATTGTAATAAACAAAGTATTAAGAACAGCAGAAAAAAAAGACTGAAACAAATTTCCTACATCACAGGCACTTTGTATACTCAGTATGTATGTGTATATACACTACTATATTACCAAAAGTATTTGCTCACCCATCCAAATGACCAGTGGTTAGCGTGTTGACCTCACAGTGCAGAGGTACCGTGTTCGATTCCAGCTCCGGCCTCCCTGTGTGGAGTTTGCATGTTCTCCCCAGGCCTACGCGAGGTTTCTCCAGGTACTCCGGTTTCCTCCCACATTCCAAAAACATGCATGGCAGGCTGATTGAAAACTCGAAATTGTCCCTCGGATGAGCGCGGATGGTTGTTCATCTCTGTGTGCCCTGCGATTGGCTGGCAACCAGTTCAGGGTGTCCCCCCGCTTCCTGCCCGAAGACGGCTGGGATAGGCTCCAGCATGCCCCGCGACCCTCGTGAGGATAGAGCGGATCAGAAAATGGATGGCTGGATGTGTTCTAATCACTTGGTCTGGCCACAAGTGTACAAAATCAAGCACCTATTGTGTATTTTTACTTGCATGCTGCATATATCTATATCTATATACGGTATATATCGATATCTATATCTATCTATCTATCTATCTATATATATATATATATATATATATATATATATACATTTATTGTCTTCACTACCCGAGGAAATCGGATCTATATTTTCTAATTCGTTCTTTTTGGTTGATGATAAACATTGTTATTAAAAATCTTGCAATTACAACAAATGAGGAGCGCAAGCAAAAATACTAAGGTAGCATTAGTAAAGTAAACAAGCCGATGTTAGCCAAGGCACTCTGCTGCTATGTTGGGACATAGACTTAATCTGAATAGCGTGTTGCTATAACACTAAATGTTATCTGTTTGAAGTTCTATTTTTTTGGAATGTACAGTCAATTAAAAATCAAAACAAAGTCATGAATTTACCTGCTAATTTGGCATCAATCCTGAATATTCATCTGCCTGAGGCCACTTATGGTACTTTTGCTTGCTAGTCTTATACCCAGTTGTTCGCATACGAGGCATCTTTCCCCACCTTCCAAAAGGTATGATTTTTTTATTTTTTATTTTTAATCTTGCAACTCTCTCTTTAAATCACACATCGAATATTTCAGTTCTTGAAATAAAGTGAACTGTGTGTACTCGGACTTTGTTATTTGCAAATTAGATTTCTTTTTGGAATTTATTGTCCATTATTTGCTAAAAAGTCTCATCTGTTAACTTTTTTTTTTGTGCTTAGACCAGTGGTGTCAAACATACGGCCAAGGAGGTTTGATCAGGCCCGCAGGATCATTTAAAAGTGAAAAAATGTATAAAAGACACGGAATGAATATTTTTAACAATGTGCAATTCATGAAGTATCCGATAGGGGGACACACTGTTTTGATCAGAGTAAAAGACAACATTGTTTTGATCAGAGAAGAAGACAACAGCAGCCTCAGTCTGTCACTGAGACAGACCCAACACAGCAGACGCTATCAAGGACATGTGAATACTTTATTCTTTACACACTTAATAGCACTCTTTAGTTTGTAAGATGTAGGCAGGGATTACATTTAGATTTTATATGCACATGTAAATGGTTTAAAAATTCTTTATAAAACTCGTTTAATCTTAAAAGTGCATTACTATATTTTTCAATACCAATTACTTGTTTAAGTTTTGTGCCTTTGTACAACAGTGGGATCAGTTGCAATGCATATATGTGAATGATAAAAGTAAATTGCACATTTATCGAAGGACATCTAAGGTGCTTCATGAAATGTTTTGGAAAAGATCTGTTATTTAAATTTCAACATTTACCTAATATTATTGTGCTTCTTTAGACCAAAACAAAGGAAATACATTATTTTGGTTATTTATAGCAGAGTATGGTATAATTTTAATGGTCCGGCCCACTTGACATCGACCGAGGCCGTATGCGGGCCCACAATGTGAAATGAGTTTGACACCCCTGGCTTAGACCAAAGCAAAACATGTATTACTTTGGCACCATCTAGTGGAATATTGGTGTTGTTGCGCGGAGGAATTCATGGTGTTGTGTCTTTGGCATCTGAGTCAGGGGTGGGCAATCCCAGTCCTGGAGGGCCGCTATCCTGCATGTTTTCCATCTGTCCCTGTTGCAACACACCTGATTCAATTGTTCAGGCCTCGACAGAGCTTGCTGATGATCTGATCATTTGAATCAGGTGTGTTGGAGAAGGGACAGATGGAAAACATGCAGGATAGCGGCCCTCCAGGACTGGGATTACCCACCCCTGATCTGAGTTGTCCTGTTGTGTTGGATGATTGCGATTGGCACAATTAAAAACGAGGCTAAAATGAGGGTTCTGCTTCTTTTCCAATTCAGCTACTCAAAGCCCTTGTAGTCCACTGTGCTGTTACAGTTTGGATGTATTCCCAAACATTTATTATTGGCTGTAAATGCCAAAAAGTGAGTTCAGTGAGTGTGTGAAATGCAAGTGTGCATATTTGTTTTCCCATGTGCGATGTCATGTCAGTTAGTGCTACTCTGTTATTTCAGCTAATATGCCTTTTGGTGAGCCTCATGTGAAGTTTGTTTTTATTGAATAATTGCTGAATGCAGCCATTTATGTAACATGGGTTCATGCTTGTGTACATGCGACAGATGCCTTGCATTAATGCTTTATGATTCTCTCGAATTTAAATGTTTTGCCGCCATCTTATCGCATCTATATGCAATTACAAACCAATTGAGAGGGCCTCCACTCAATAGTATTTGCTGATTATTATTTGTGGTCGGTTGCGGTTCCTATCCCTCATGAATAGTGGTGGGCCACTGAATTACACATAGAGATTACAAAATCACCTCAACAGTAACAGTAATCCCCCCAAGTATTATGCTTCCTTTCTCTAAATGTGGGGTGAAATTACAGTAAAACGGTAAAATTTATCTTGTTTTGCGGCTCTTTAACCTCTGATCCTAAAACGTTCCCCTCATGATTCGACAAATAAATTTCTAAGGATGTCCACTTCAATGCCTTTCTGTAACTCTTCCAGTCTCTTTCAAAAACTCTCCCTGCAGTCTCTCTGATGATGACACTGTGACATTCTAGGTTCAGTGGCCATTTTCCTCTGAACATTTCCTATTTGAGGAGATACACTATGGGCCACAGTCATGAAGTAATGAGGCTTCACAAGCCATTGCGTTGCAAAAGCATTGCTTCATTCAAAGCCCGCTAACGCCCTCTGCTGGAAGCGTTAAACAGTGACTGACAAATTTGTGAAATTCTGTAGATTTCTGTCATAAAGCAAAATATCATACAATCTATTATGATGCATAGCTTTGTAGCACCCCTAAATAACCATAAAATACATATATTTTTGGAACCCAGCAATATTTCTCATTGTTCAGTTGAGTTATTCAGTTCCAAAAGTGAACCCCATTAAACACAGAGGAACATAATATTCATGAAGACACTTCCTATCTAATTTAATTATTGACACCATTATTTTGTAATATTCCAAATTTTTGGTGTGAGTCGCGAGTAGCTGGAATGCTCTACTTGTACATGTCATTAAAAAAAAAATCAAGCGGTTGAAGCCAGTGCACACACCTTTATTTGATTACATGATGATACAAACAAGTGACTAAACAAAGCACATCCCTCTGCTTCTGCGAGTGAATTTATTTATTGACCGAATGATTTGTCTGGAAAACCAAATAATAGAATCACAATTAAAAATGAAGTGTTCTTTCTTTTTTTTTTTCTTTTTCCTCAAAATAGTTAACTTTTCAATTTTAAGTGACACTTAGGGACATGCATGTTCAATTGCCGCATTATTAGGTGGTTCTCTGGGGTAGTGGGGGGGGGGGTCCCTTCAAGGGATCCTTCAACCCAAAAAGTTTGAGCTCCCTTGTTCTAATGTATAAATCTAAAACGAATGGCCCCTCCACCAATGTCCTACTGTTAAAAAAATTTGAACGTAGAAGTTCTCGACTGTGAGGCTAAAAACGACGTCAATTCCGGATCCTCAACTAAATGTAATAATTTCTTCGTTGGCCCATGAGCAACGCGTTTATTAAATATGTTGATGGAAATTGTTTTAGAAAAAAAAAAGAACGGTGGACAATCCCAAGATTTCAGTGCTGGCAGCGTGAGTTTGGTGCCCACAGTGATGGTGTGAATGCAAACTGCTTTCTGTCTCTTTTGGTGTCTTGTGATTAACTAGTTAGCAGTCTTGGGTGTATGTTGCCCACCTTTCGCTCAAAGTCACCTGGGAGAGACTTCAGCTCCACATGAACCTGAACAAGATATGCGGTCCCAAAAAAATTGGTGTATGTTTTAGGCTAGTTGTGAATCTCAATGCAGTACAATGCAGTGTATATTATTTTTAATCTACTTTAAATATAGTCTACTGATTTTAAACCCTCAAGGTTAAATGAATAAAGCTCAACTGTTCACACGGTCTGACTTATATCTCAATATCCATTTTAGATTTCAAGACCTTACGCAAGGTTTCAATGATGATTTCTTTGTTGTTGGCCACATTATAGGCAGTTAAGTTCACGAGACTGTCAAAATCTTCCTCTGAGTAGACAAGTTGGTCAGTCTTGAAAGGGGAGTTGCTGCTCTTCACATCCACCTCTCCAGCTTTTATTTCTTCTGCAGTCTCGCGCTTCACACCTACAAAGTTAAAATGAGGACGATCATTGTTTGTGCCGTTCTAGGATAAAACATGAAATATACCTGTTGATACAAGCGGATCAATGAAAGTACGATTATTATTATTTGTGTGGAGATTTGTGCAAACCTCCATGTGGAAAGAAAGTAGAACTGCGATTGCTCTGATCAAATCAGTTATCACCCATTCCCTTCGAGCCCGTTTTGAAACTGAGTGCGCCAAGAGCAACACATATCCCCTTCGTGACCGGTCTCATTTTCTTGTTGGCCAACAAAAATCTTACATGTGACAACCAACGACATTCCATTAGGCTTTATTGTGACCAGGTATCCACTTAAACTCTGTCAATGCTTGTTTGGCCAGCAAGTTTGAGAGCGGGCGTCGACTCGAATGCGTCGTCTCTCAACCCCCCATATTATTATTGAAATATACCTGTTGATACAAGCGGATCAATGAAACTACGATTATTATTATTTGTGTGAAGATTTGTGCAAACCTCCATGTGGCAAGAAAGTAGAACTGCGATTGCTGTGATCAGATCAGTTATCACCCATTCCCTTCGAGCCCGTTTTGAAACTGAGTGTGCTAAGACCAACACATATCCGGTTCGTGACCGGTCTCATTTTCTTGTTGGCCAACAAAAATCTTACGTGTGATAACCAACGGCATTCCATTAGGCTTTATTGTGACCAGGTATCCACTTAACTCTGTCAATGATTGTTTGGCCAGCAAGTTTGAGAGCGGGCGTCGACTCGAATGCGTCGTCTCTCAACCCCCCATATTATTATTAATAATAATAATAATAACAATACATTTTATTTATAAGCGCTTTTCACAACACTCACGGACACTTTACAATCAAGAACAAAAACAATAAAACCACAGATAAAATTATAAATAAAAGAAGAGATGAATTTAAATGGAATAGGTGGGTTTTGAAGTGGGATTTGAACGTGGGAAGAGAATCAATATTACGGATGTTGGGTGGATTACATTAAAACTGTAATCCTGCAGCATAATCCACATTTTCAATAAATGTACCTGGAATGAATTGTAATCTGAAACTGGAACGGAATCATTACTTTTTTTGTATCCTGAATACTTTATGCCAGTACATATATTCAGTTGGGACAAGAACCTCAGACCCATTGTCAGGCTATGCACTGTTCTTTTTGGTGCATGACCATACCAAGCCTCATTTAGTTTGAGTGTGTCAGTCGATGATGAACACAATGGTGACTGGACACCCTGGTTCGCCTTTCGAAAGACCTGAATCCAATCAAACCTCACTGGTACATTTTCTATAAGAGCACCCATTGCCACCAAATAATGGCACAGTCTATGCAGGAACTTATTGATGCCTTCATCCATTTCAGATATCATGAGTTGTGAAGTTGCTACAGCCTGTGATTTTATTTGACCAATTTTTTGGAATTTTGGAGCATGATTCCCATTCCATCACTTTAGTGGATTATGCTTTGATTTCTGTATTTTTCAGTCGTATGTCAATTTTATTAAGTACAGTCAAACCTCGGTTTTCGAACGTCTAGGTTCTCGACCAATTCGGTTTTCGACCAAAAATTTCGAGTTTTTTTATGCCTCGGATAACGAACAAATTTCGGTTCTCGAACAAACTGAGCGCACTTGAATGCACCATTTGACTCCTCTCGCCTTCCTTACATGAGGAAATGACGCTTCCTCGGGTAGACGAGGAAGTGACGCTTCCTCGTGCCGCTTTCCATTGTGAGCAGACGTGTTCAGTAAACATTTTTATTTTAAAAAGAGCGTTGTTTCGGTTTTCGAACAATTTCGGTTTTCGAACAGCCTTCTGGAACGGATTATGGACGAAAACCGAGGTTTGACTGTATTTTATTTTCACACTGCTATTTACACTCTTGTCACATGAGTAGTTTGCCCATGCATTAATTAAATACTGTATAACTCTGTAACATACATTCATTAATTTGTGCGGATGCAGCTGGGGTCCAGCCCTTTAAATGAACCCACCTGGTTCTTTGAAATGTCTGAATGAATCATTGACAAGCGGGAAGTAAATCACGACTGGTGCCTTGGGATTCTCCATATCTTCAAGAATGTAAACCTCTCTCTGAGGTTGTTCTTCCAGAGTGGTAAAATCGATACGAGGGAAGGGCATGTTGTGGTCTTGACAGTAAGACGCTGTCAACTTCAGTTCCTGTGAACAAAGAGGAAAGAATGATGATGCAAGTGGAACATTGTAATTACTTGAGAAGAGATCTGTCTTGGTTCTGTTTGTGACCGACAGGTGGCACTGTAGGGTTCCGCCTGCAGCTGCACACCTGTTGGTCATTGTGTCATCAGTTGTCTGTTTTAAAAGGACTCCAGGCACAACCCTTGGGTGTCGGGTCATCATTTGCTTCTGTCATGTTTTTTGCTTCAGCCATGGTTTTTGTTACTTTGGATTCTTTTTGTTTCCATTACTTTGTTTGCTTGGATTTGGTTTTCTCTGTGTTTAATACAATTTGTCAAGTTCACCCTGCTCCTCCTTCTTGCCTGCTTTTTGGGGTCCTCCACCAACACCCACCGTGACAGAATGATCCGACCAACTACTGGACCCCGCCGGTACAGTATAAAGGACTGGTCCCAGTTCCACCCTGTGCCTCGCGGAGCACGTCCGCGGCCGACACCCTTTCCCCTTCAGGCAGCGCAGGTCATGCGGCTGTACCGTGTTTTTCGTCTTGTCAAGCCACGTCCACAGTCGGCCGAGCCCCGTCCGTGTCCACGTTGAGCCGAGCTACGTCTACGTGCCTGTTTGACGTAAGTTACATCCACGTCAGGCCGAGCCACGTCCACGTCAGGCCGAGCCCAGTCTATGTCCGGCCGTCCCATGTTCCCCGTCGTGCCAAACCACGGTAGGCCGAGCCCCGTCCGCGTCCACGTTGAGCCGAACCCCGTCCGCGTCCACATGGAGCCGAGCCACGTTCCCTTCCACGTCAGGCCGATCCTCGTCCACGTCAGGCCGAGCCCAGTCTACGTCCGGCCGTCCCATGTTCCCCGTCGTGCCAAGCCATGTCTACGTCAGGCTGAGCCCAGACATTTGGTGACTGTTTTGGGACTTCTGGGATCAGTTCCTTGAGGGAGGGGTACTGTCATGGTTCTGTGTTTGTGACCAACAGGGGGCACTGTAGAGCTCAGCCTGCAGCTGCACACCTGCTGGTCATTGTGTCATCAGTTGTCTGTTTTAAAAGGACTCCCAGCACGACCATTGTGTGTCGGGTCATTGTTTGTCTGTTTCTGTTAGTTTTTTGCTTCAGCCATGGTTTTTGTTAGTTACTTTGGATTCTTTTTTTTTCCCATGACTTTGTTTGGATTTGGTTTTCTCTGTGTTTAAGACAATTTGTCAAGTTCACCCTGCTCCTCCTGCCTGCCTGCTTTTTGGGGTCCTCCACCACCACACATCGTGACAAGATCACTTTAATTCTGACCAGTACTAAGAAATCAGAACACATTACTCTAATCCTAAAGACTTTACATTAGCTCCCAGTCAGCTGTAGAGCAGATTTTAAAATTCTGGTACTGGTCCAAAACCACTGGTTTGGGCCCTGAATACATTAAGGAAATGCTTCTTGAATATAAACCCAGTGGGAATCTGAGGTCTGCGAGCTCAGGTCAATTAGTGGAGCCCAGGTTTTAAATCAAACATGGTGAAGTGGCATTTAACTGTTATGCTGCATGCAAATTCAAAACAAAATCTCCATTGGAGGTGAAATCATCCCGTCCCCATTGAAATCTAGATTTAAAACGATGCTTTTTTTTTTCCATCTTTTTAGCATTTTTAAAATCAAATTTACTCAATGGTCTTTTAGTAATCTCAGAAAGCTACTTTTGATTTCTTTCATTTTTTTTCCAAATTTAGTCATTTTAATAAGCTACTTTTGTTCTTTCTGCTCTGCGAATGTCTTCAGTGTTTGTTGATGCTTTCAACTGTGAAGCACATTGAGTTGCCCTTTGTATGATATGTGCTGTATAGATAAAGTTGTCTTGCATTGCCTTGAAAGAGGTTCACTTTTACCTTGAAGATGTCGTTTGGGGTCCAAGAATTATCAAAACAAATGATAACGTCCACTTCTCTCTCAGGACGTAGGACGGGCGCACAGCCGATGTTGATGGAATGACCAGAATCAATGAGCTGCAGAAATGATTCGCTGGGTGTCAGTAAATTTGGAAAAGCATCAGGGTGTGATTCTGGAAAGAGAATAAATGGGGCTCATGTCAGAAATTCCTTCATCTGAATGTGACTAGTTCAACCATCATATCCATTGTGCGACCCAATACAGATTAGATGGAACAGAGGCCTCATCTAACATTATGAACTAAAAACAATAAAACAGATTAATTTATTTTCATTCATATCCATTTCCTCATCATGTATTGTAAATAATAAGCTTTAAGCTGTTAAAAAAAAAAAAAAAACCTGAAGTGTGTACCTTTCCAGGCTGTGAAGTTGCTATGTGTATTGTAGCTTGAGTGCAGAAAGAGACCATGCATGAAGTTGTATTCTTTAGAACTAAATGGGCGATTCATTAAGAAGTCACTGATGATTCTAGAGACGGCTGAGGATGGATCCATATGTTGTGTATCAAGAGTCAACGGCTCATTTTCAGGCTCTGCGAAAAGGGAAAAAACACAAGCTTGTGATTGGACCACGGATCATTGATATAGAAGCAGCAATTCCTTTGATGATAGTTGAATTTTGTATTCAACAAATTTGAGGAATCAAAAAAAAAAAAAAACAACAGGCAGGTCGGAACACTCCACGATTAATGAGATCATCCACAAAAACTACAGTGGGTATAAGAATTTGACATTAAATTGAACTTGGGTTATTTCCTTTTAGAGTTGGATGATGGTAAACCCGAATGACAATAAACTCCCTCTCCCATTTCCAACATGCTTGAGTGACAACTTTTTTACTTGCATGACTGAATACTGTATATTCTGCACTCTAAGGCACTTCAGATTATAAGGTGCACCTTCAATGAATGGCCTATTTTAAAACTGTTTTCATATACAGGGCGCACTGCATTATAAGGTGCATAGAATAGTGGCTGTGCATCCACTAGATGGTGCTATGGTACAAGAAATACAATACAATACAGTACAGCTTTATTTCTATAGAGCAGTGTTTTTCAAACCCTGTGCCGCGGCACACCGGACATTGTCGGGTGTGCCACGGGAAAATATCCAATTTGTATGCCTGTGCGGTCTATCGCCCGGCAAAGTAATCGTGTAGTACACTTTCATACCGCTAGGGAGCACCAACAGCTAGCCAAGTGCCTTGTGTTTAGTCTCGAGACAAGCGAATTTGCGACGCATTGGATTGAATGCAGGACTACGGTGGAACAAATATGCCAGATTATAAAATACTTTTTTCTTTGTGCTTCTTTGATTCAAATTCAAGCTTTTATAACATAACTATTCAATGTTAAAAAACGGTTATAGTAACAATGTAACACGTTAATTGTTAAATAAGCTTTTTTTTCACATTTTCAGCTAGTGGTGTGCCACAAGATTTTTTCAATGAAAGAAGTGTGCTTTGGCTCAAAAAAGTTTGAAAAACACTGATATAGAGCCTTCACAACTGCTGCAGTTGTAGCAATGACAACTGGTCCCAAACACGGACATGAAACATATCAATACAAATGGCATTGCAAAACAATAAATGAAAGCAAAAGTTATGAAGACAATGGATTCAACAAAAAGGCTCATAAACACAAGGGGCTAAATCTCCTTCGAAGTCTTGCTTGTCTCCTTTGTTTAGTCAGGAGTCAACTATGCTTTTGGTATTATCTTCATTTCATAATGGATGCGCAGAGCTCACAAAGTAGTTGTCTGTTTGTTTGAGTGTGTGTTGGCCTATGCACATGTCTATTAGTGTCAGGTAGAACCCTTTTAGGTTACAATTGGTACCTGCTAATAATCATCACTAGTTGGCAAAGGAACACACTAACAGGGAAACAACCCAATGGGGAATATACAGTAAAGAGACTGTGTCATCATATATACAGTGCATCGGATTATAGGGCGCACTATCGGCTTTTGAGAAAATTGAATGCTTTTAGGTGCGCCTCAAAGTGCGGAAAATATGGTCATTGTTTTTTGTGAGTCTTCTTTCAATTCCTGGCTGTCTGTAAAACTTTTATCATATACATATACGTACTGTACATATACATCCTGTCTTGCATCTTGATATGGAATAATTTGAGGATTCATAATAATGGCGAGGCACAATGGTCCACTGGTTAGCACATCTGCCACACAGTGCAGAGGTGCGGAATTCGATTCCAGGCTGCGACCTTCCTGTGTGGAGTTTGCATGTTCTCCCCGTGACTGCGTGGGTTTTCTCCGGGTACTCCGGTTTCCTCCCACAGTCCAAATCATGCATGGTAGGTTCAGTGGACAATCTCAATTGGCCCTATGTGTGTTCGTGTGGATGGTCGTTTGTCTATGTGTGGCCTGCGATTGGCTGGCAAATAGTTCGGGCCCACCTTCTGCCCAAAGACAGCTGGGATAGGGTCCAACATACCCCGGCACGCCCACGACCCTCGTGAGGATAAAGCGGTTCAGAAAATGGATGGATGGACAATAATGGCACAGATTAAAAGACTTGATGTAAATTTCATTTCTGGCATCTGTAATTGTAATGAGATACAGTGCATTCTGCTAATATCCGAATATGTTGGACAAGTAGATGACCTATGGATGACTAAAAGCAATTTAAATACAAAAAAATATATTCTCCTCTATTTCGTCCATTCGCTTTACCTTTGTTGTCCATATCTGGTCCGCTTCCGGTCTCATCACTGGCGAGGTTCATTAATTGAGACATGGTGACTGAAAAGAAACTGCTCCATATTCCTGATTAAGATAAAAAAAAACCCAAAAAAACAAATAAATAAACATGTACGGTGTCTGGAATTGTGTCTTCATCATTGTCTTGAATCAATCGCAAGTTCTGGTTGTCTGAGGATGAATTCTGACTGAGTCTCTTTGGAAAGGACAAAAGGACAGCGGTGTATGTGTATGTGTGTGTGGCGGTGGTGTTGTTAGCCTCCTCCTTTGTTTAGAGATGGTCTTTCAACCTTAAAGGTCCCATGGCATCAAAATATTTTTTTCCCCACTGTTTTATGCATAACGTTGTTCAAACGATATAAACATGCAAATATATATGTGTGACATTGTTCAAGTTTGACATTTATGCGGTTTATCGTTTGCATGTATGATGAGTAAGCCTTTGAAAGGCAAAAGGCTTGCAAAACAAGTTGATTTGAATTTTAGTGTCGATGTGACAATGCAGTACATTCGATGCTCATTGTTCAAATACCTTCCGACTACCTGGTTGCTACGCGCTCATTCATCCCCGGAAAAACGGACGTATGGCGGCAGCGTGCCTGCAACATGTACAAAGCTCAAACAGTGCAACAAACGCCGACCTCAGCGAAGTTAATGAATGAATGAATGGAAGTCCTAAGCACCAAAGATGTTTCGGCACATTTCATGGAGGATGGCTTTGTCAACATAAGTTCTAAAACATGCCACATCAACAACCAAATTAGTGCTGTCCTAACTCGCCTTCTGCATGAATTGAAGAACCCTGACAAAAGTAAAAGGGCTTCGAAGACAACCAGAACAATCCAATTGCGATCGATTCAGAATAAAGTGACCTGGATGAGTGACAATGCGAGCAGCCACGTTCTTACCAATCAAATACGGGATGCGGATTTCTGGGAGTTTTCTGATGAGATGACCAAGGAAGAACTGACTGCCATAGTCTTCAGCGCGCACAAAAGCACCGTACTTTTGAAAGCCAACCTCATAGGGGGTGAACTCGCACCACTCTGGTCATTGGTAATAAAGAGAAAAGGGATATTCCGGAAAATAACTTCAATGCTCTTTATGTTGAGGCGCATTTATGCTGCCAACATATCAACTGTTCATGCGTTATTATTTAGCGTCAACAAAATCTATTGGACTACTGCGAGCAAATATATTGTATTGGCCCGAATATAAGACGGCCCTGATTATGAGACGACCCCCCCTTTTTCAAGACTCAAGTTTGAAAAAAGACTTTTTGAACACCAAATTAATTTTTATACAGAAAATAATTACAGTACATCTGAAACAAATGATTATGACAATATATTTGATAGAAAAAGCATGTTATTTTGCCTCATTCAAATCTACAGGTAAAGTGCAATCACATTCGTAAATGAATGGCTTCTGGTTTTTGAAATGTAAATTACATCATAACTTCTCCTCAGCTGCCGGTTAACCTGGCCGATCTTCGACCCACTTTTCTCCAGATTGTCACGACGCTTCTCCATTTTCTGTTATCTCTTCTATTATTTTCTTCTCTTTTCCTTCTTACCGCTACTTTTTATTTTTCTCCTTCGTACTACCGCTATTTTTATTTTTATCCTTTGTGGCAGGGGTTCACTTTGGCAATATAAGACGACCCCCACTTTTTCAGTCTTATTTCAATGCAAAAAACACCGTCTTATATTCGGGCCAATACGGTACAACAGCAGTACACCAAAATGATCAACCCCTCCAATGATATTTACCAGCTTCTGATTCACAGCCCATCCTCTCCTTCACATTGACAGCAGTGTATATGGGCAAAGGGTTTTGGCCTTCATTTACCGTCTTCCGTTGCTCAGAGAGCGTATTGACCACTTTCTGCAAGTGTTGAACAATATTCAGAATATTCTTTTTCAATGTAAAAAAAAAAAGATGATTTAGTGAGCAATTACTCACCTCGCCAAAAACAGTTTGTTCATACAGCAGGCCTGCCAAATCAGTATGGGATAAAATATGTCCCTCCTTCATTTTTTCTTCCATTTCGCGCCTGTAGTATTCCATTTTTTCCAGAGAGAAGAGACTCAGGGCATCCTTACAGATCTCTTTTCTTATTTCAGCGATGACACGATCGATGCCGTCCTGTGACCAGTTTGCATCTCTGAACAAGGCACTCATAGTCCTATTCACAATGAAAATACCAATAGTGTTAAAAGTTCAAAATGAGAATGCATAGATAAATCATAAATCATAGCCTGAGAATTCTGTCAAAAAATTCAATGTTGGGATGTATTACGTTCACAAAAATACCATGCTTGTTTTTAAGCGCAGGCACTACCTATATCATTCATTCATTCATTTTCCGAACCGCTTGATCCTCACTAGGGCCACGGGGGGTGCTGTAGCCTAACCCATCTGTCTTCGGGCAGTAGGCGGGGGACACCCTGAACCGGATGCCAGCCGATCGCAGGGCACACAAAGACAAACAACCATCCCCGCCCACACTCATACGCAGGGACAATTTGGAGTGTTCAATCAGCCTGCCACGCATGTTTTTGGAATGTGGGAGAAAACCGGAGTACCCGGAGAAAACCCACGCAGGCCCGGGGAGAACATGCAAACTCCACACAGGGAGGCCGGAGCTGGGATTGAACCGGCACCTCTGCACTGTGAGGTCGACGCACTAACCACTGGACCACCGGGCTGCCCCCTATATCATTCAGTTTTTAACTAATATTTCTTTGTTTGATATACTTAGCTTTGATTTAATTGCCATTTCTTCATTATTATCTGGTGTATTTTTACCTGCA